AGGCCTTGGGTTGTGTTGGGGGTTATAATGACGTATATCTTAATTGTCGTTCTTTGTGTTAAATTAATTGAAATCTGTTAACTATTAAATTACCTCAAGACCATTTAACCATTTAACCATTTAACCATTTACTCGTTGGTATTTTAATTCAATTCTCTATGACAACTGAAGGTAATCTCATTAACTTCTTTAAAAGGTTATTGACTGGGTATAAATCATGTTTGTATTTTGTCTATTCCAGGTACACTAATGAGCGAGTCTAAAACAACACAGTTACCCCCTGATTAATTTAACCCCAGCTAAAAGAAAATGGAAATTAATATTATAGAAAATGGGAAATAATTTATCATACTATAGACAGAATTAAGTGAAGGTTTTTTATCTAATATTTGGGGATTTATTTATATATATTTTTATAATAAATGTATAGGATGATTAATTTTATTTTACAGGTAATGTCTGTTAATTACTGTTTACCAGGTGTTGTATCTTAAGTATAGGCTACTGTAGACGGCAGGAAGTGTGTTATTGTCCTCCTCACCTGTTGATGTTTACCTGTGATGTGTGTTGATAGTTATGTACCTCCATGTGTGTTAATTATTTCTGACAGAGGTGATGCATCCTCTCCCCGGGCGCCCCAGTGATGCAGAGAAGTAAGATGTGTTACAGTAATTACTCTTCTCTCTCTCTCTCTCAACTTGGCCATCGTCACCTCTGTTCTCTATCATCTTACACCCTCACTATAGGTCTACTACCAACATTTTCGTCATGTTCCCCTCCTACACCCTGTCCCCGTCCGTCCGCTTCTCACACTCCGGGCCCATCCTATTTTTGACCCCACACCCAGGCCTCAATCCTCCCTCCACGGGCCGCGGGCAGTGTCCCCAACCCTCCCTCCACGGGCTGCAGGCCGTGTCCCCAACCCTCCCTCCACGGGCTGCAGGCCGTGTCCCCAACCCTCCCTCCACGGGCTGCAGGCCGTGTCCCCAATCCTCCCTCCACGGGCTGCAGGCCGTGTCCCCAATCCTCCCTCCACGGGCTGCAGGCCGTGTCCCCAACCCTCCCTCCACGGGCTGCAGGCCGTGTCCCCAATCCTCCCTCCACGGGCTGCAGGCCGTGTCCCCAACCCTCCCTCCACGGGCTGCAGGCCGTGTCCCCAATCCTCCCTCCACGGGCTGCAGGCCGTGTCCCCAACCCTCCCTCCACGGGCTGCAGGCCGTGTCCCCAATCCTCCCTCCACGGGCTGCAGGCCGTGTCCCCAACCCTCCCTCCACGGCACTTCTCAGAAACAGTGTATTGGTCCCTGACAACTCCCAGAGGCTGACTAGAAACTTCACTGAGTTCCAAGACTTGCGGGAGGCGCCTCTGACCTAGGAAACTTAACTGCAATCGACACGGAAGTTAGCTGTAATCGGCATTCATGAAAGCGAACAGCGCCGCGGAACTTAGCTGTAATCAAGCATACTCGACAGCTGACAGTGCTCCTGGAAGCAATTCGGGGCGCTAAAATGGACTCGTTGATCATTGAAGGGCGCGCCCCGTCAACCTAAAATAGCGATTTGAAGTAGTTCCCTTAGTTCCATGAGGACTCCGGGAAGCGACGCAAAATGGTTCCGTAAGAGGTCTGGAAAGCGACTTAAAGCTGTTCCACAGCTCCATGGGATCTCTGGAAAGCGAATTAAACTAGTACCTTGAGAGCTCTGGTGCCGAGGCCGACTGTCAACGAGATGAATGACGACACACATTCCCGCACTACAAAACACGACCTTTCTGGGCCTCAGAAAACTCCATTACAAAGACTGAAAACGCGACTTTGGAGGTCCTGGAAACACAGAAAACGACCGGAAATGACTTTGACGCGAGCTGAAAAATGACCCGGAAGTGAGTTAGAAGCCCTTTAAAAGTCATCTGGAAATCCTTTGAAGCTCGTATAAGCCACCTGGAAAGCTTTGTAAGCTATGAAAAGCCCTTGGAAGCCCACTCAAGCCACTTGGAAGTTCCTTGGAAGGCCACTGAAGCTCTTAGAAGTGGCCTGGGGGCCTCTAAAGCCTCTGTGAGCCGCCTGGAAATCCTCGAGAGTCCATAGATTCCACCTAGAATCCCCTGAAAGCCCTTGAACACCCTTATAGGCCTTCAAAAATAAACTTAAATCACTACGAAGACAACTGAAGGGCCCTGGAAGCCTCTAACAACGAGCTGTAGGCGTCTGGAGCGACCAGCTGAGCCCTGGAGTGTAATGAGTCAGCGGACCACGTAATGGACTCGTCTTGTGACTTACCTTCCTGACGCCCTGACCCCCCAGCGTGTAATGTAGCAGCTAGGGTCACCACTACCACTACCTGGGTCACCACCACTCTGGGTCACCACCACTCACCTTCACCACCACTCTGGGTCACCACCACTCGCCTTCACCACCCTACTTACAAACTTTCATAAATCATCTCATTTCGTCTCTTCTCCCAGTCCTCTTGACTTCCTTCATAATATTACTCTTTCATTTCTTCCCTGGAATTAGAACTTTTCCTTTTACCTGTTTCCTCAATTAATATATTATTCATGATGTCTTAAAAGTAAATACAATGTCTTAAAGTTAGTTAAGTATTCATTATATAAGACCATATATGTCTTCAGGTGCAGTAAGCATTATACATGTCTTAACTATAATTTAAGGTTTGTTATATAATTGATATATATGTCTTATAAGGTAACTATGATGTCTTAAGGTAATTATGATGTCTTAGTTATAATTATGTCTGTTTTTAATTACTTACCATGTCTTCATGTTAGTAATTATTCATGAAATTTAACGCATTAGACTCTCATTTGAATTCCTGTCCTCTCATCATTCTTTTTCTTATTCGGGTTTATCCTTCCTCCTCCTCTTCTCGTTCTTTTTCCTCTCTGTTTTCTCCTCATTATCCCTTTATCTAGTAGTTCCTCTGTTATCATTGGTTTTCCTTGTTCCCAGTCCATGGTCGTGTGGGATGGATGGCCGAGGTTTGTGTCAGTGCTTCGTGGTAGTCTCTCTCTCTCTCTCTCTCTCTCTCTCTCTCTCTCTCTCTCTCTCTTCATTCAAGCATCTTTTATTTTATCCTCCCGATTCTTCTTCTTCTTTTATTTACCTTTCTCTATCTCTCCTCTTTTCTTCCTCTCTTCCTTCTCCTCTTCTTCAACTTCCTCCATCTATCCTCCTGTCTTCCTCCTCCTGTCATTCTTCACACTGCAGACTCCAGGACCTTTCACCTTCACCTCCTCTTTCATCATCTATCTCCCCTTCTCTCATTCTTTAACCAGTTTTATTCTCTTTGTCACCTATTCTCTCTTCCTCATTCTTATCTGCTGTAACTCACTCTGGGATTAATATTCTCTTGACGTCTACACAGATTCTCCCACTCCTTTCCTTCATTTCCTTATTCCTTCCTTTACTTTTCACTCTCCTTCCTTCCTTCCTTCACTCTTCTCCAAAGGACCTGCTATTTCCTTCTTCCTTCCCTTATTCCTTCCCTCATTCTTGAACTTATTATTTTCTTCTCATTTCCTTCCTTCCTTCCTTCAGTACAGCTCACCGTAGGATTGTAAACATACTTTCCTTTTACGCTTTTCAGTCTTGAAGGTTAGGCCAGACACCTAACCCCCAACCCCAAAACCTAACCTAACCTAACCTAACCTAACCTAACCCTAAAGGAAACACTGCCCAACCAGCCTTATAGCATGATGGCATGAGCCTTTTTTAAACTACATCATAACTACAAGTCATCAACACTAATACTCCATCTCATCTAAACTTGAGCATTATTATTGTACTGGCACACGCACATGTAAGCTTGGACACTGTGTTGTTCATCTCGCTTCTTGTGAGGGTCTTATCAGAGGTTGAGATAGATAGATAGATAGATAGATAGATAGATAGATAGATTGATTGATAGAGAGTTAGATAGATAAATATTCATTATATGTATATAGACAGTGTACAGTAGGTATGTCAACGATATACACTTATATAAACAGTGTAGGTATACAAACAATGTACATAACGGTGTATACAACGTACTGTACATAGGCAGGACAGGTAGACGGTTCGAGTGTAGTAAATAGTAGGTGTGTGTGTGTGTGTGTGTGTGTGTGTGTGTGTGTGTGTGTGTGTGTGTGTGTGTGTGTGTGTGTGTGTGTGTGTGTGTGTGTGGTGTGTGTGTGTGTGTAAAAGAAGACCTACATAGCGTGTCTGTAAAATTAAAAGTCAGTGTTTTTGTCAGCTTACTGTAGACACGGGGCCAAAAAAAAAAATTCAGGTGTTAGGATATAAATCTATAACTGTTCTCAACACACACACACACACACACACACACACACACACACACACACACACACACACACCCTCTGGTAAGACCCTTAAAACAGCCTCGTCCTGTAGATATCTTCTCTTGGTAACATATTGACTTACTCGCTATATAAACTGTCCTGTGAACCTGTAGAGTCGACCTGTTGTTTTATTTGAGTAAGTAGCACGAGTAATAGTGTGGCCAGCACCTTTCCTGGCGTGTAAAGTACATCCTTCAAACACCATCACCAATATCTACCTTAGTTACCCCTCAACACTCTAGTTTTCTTTGATTTTCTCCGATTTTTTGTTTTCATTAATGCCTAGTTCAGTTTACTCCTAAATAAACTGTAATAGCTTAGTTAAAATTTCTCTTATTTCTTCAGTATTAATCTGTCTCAACACCCCTGGCCCTCCCGATTGTACAAGAGAAGAAATTTAACGAAAACAAAAGAGAAAAAATATTAACATTACAATTCCCATTTTCTTCAACAGTCTCAGCCATGTCGGTGAACTAAATTACACCAGGAAGTTCAATATCCTTATTATAAATTTACATCACATTGTAACACCAAGAACCAGTTAAGTTTATTGTCTGTCTGTCTGTCTGTCTGTCCGTCCCATTAATACTTACTTTGTGGTGGCGAGTGACCCTGTTTGACCTCGGGATGACCTCTTACAGAGTTAGCGGACGCGGCGCTGAAGATCCAGGCTGGGTTCAGAGGTGCCAAGGCTCGCAAGGACAAGATCAAGAAGGAGGAAGCAGAACTGAACCAGAAGTTGGGTAACCTTAACACGGTGAGTGGTAACGTCAAGTACTTCCGTGTCTTGTAGTGGTGGCTCAGTGGTTGGGTGATTGATTGGTTGGTTGGTTCATTGATTGAGTAGTTGGTTGGTTGGTTGATTGATTGGTTGGTTGGTTGGTTCATTGATTGAGTAGTTGGTTGGTTGGTTGGTTGATTGGTTGGTTGGTTGATTGGTTGAGTATTTGATTTGTTGTTGCAGCAGTTGACTCATTGGTCGATTAGTTAGTTTATTGACTAATCCCAGGTACTGTGTAACCGTAACGCGTCCACGCACACACACACACAGGACAACAGTAGTGAACATCTGCAACAGGAGATAAATGTTCAGTATAAATTCAATAATGGTTGTGCGTTCCGTTCACTTCAGGAATTGTTTGTACAGCCATTGAGGTAAGCTGAGCCGCTCACCTGGGGCTCCACACCTTCAAACTTTCGGAAGGTGAACAAATTCTCGTAAGTGAGATAGAAATGGATACCTGACTGTTTGACTTACGATAAAACATAAGAATAATGTCCTAAAATGGCTTCAAAATTACACTGAGACTCTACGTTAACTACATATGATCACTTATCACCAATTAGGAGACGAATTTAACGTACTCGTATACAGAATGTTTTGGATACTATTCTGCATTACTATTAACTTTATCGTAAGTCGGGTACCTAATCTTACGAGTGTTTGAGAATGCTGAGCCAAACGCTAAATATATTAAATTTCTTGTTACAAATAACTTGAGGGAACTAGTGTTGTGAAGCGCTCTTGGCCAGGTTTTATTCCTTGGAGTTTATACTGCAATATTCTGCCTCCGTCTTACTGCCTGACTGAGCTGAGGTTAGGTTAAGTTAGGTTAGGTTAGGTTAATGGTAGGTTAAGGTAAGGTTAATGGTAGGTTAAGGTAAGGTTAATGGTAGGTTAAGGTAAGGTTAATGGTAGGTTAAGGTAAGGTTAATGGTAGGTTAAGATAAGGTTAATGGTAAGTTTAGGTAAGGTTAAGGCAGGGTTTAGGTAAGGTTAATGCAGGGTTTAGGTAAGGTTAATGCAGGGTTTAGGTAAGGTTAATGGTAGGTTAAGGTAAGGTTAATGGTAGGTTAAGGTAAGGTTAATGGTAGGTTAAGGTAAGGTTAATGGTAAGTTTAGGTAAGGTTAAGGCAGGTCAGATATCCCGTGTCGTGTTGTTCTCTGCTTTGATGTGACAACTTTAATAAGGAGAGTGTTTGTGTAGCCGTGTTGTGCTGCCTCCCTAGTGCTGACACCACCATCCTCCTGTCCTCCTCCTCCTGCTCCTACTCCTTCTCCTACCACTCCTCATACTACTCCTTCTCCTTCTCTTACTCCTTCTCTATCTCCTCTTCCTCCTCTTCCTCCTCTTCCTCCTCCAGGGGTTCTAATAATCACTCACCAGTTTAATTCAAGACCCAAAGACTGTGTTGTGAGGGAGAACTGTGTTGTGAGGGAGAACTGTGTTGTGAGGGAGAACTGTGTTGTGAGGGAGAACTGTGTTGTGAGGGAGAACTGTGTTGTGAGGGAGAACTGTGTTGTGAGGGAGAACTGTGTTGTGAAGGAGAACTGTGTTGGGAGGGTGAACTGTGTTGTGAGGAGAGTCTCAGGCTTGATACACCGTGAAGTGGACATATTGTTTCGGTGAGTGTAGGTGGTGTGTAGTGGGTGTGTGGGGTGTGTAGTGGGTGTGTGGGGGTGTGTGTAGTGGTATGTGGGGTGTGTGGTGGTATGTGGGGGTGTGTAGTGGGTGTGTGGGGGTGTGTGAGTGGGTGTGTGGGGTGCGTAGTGGGTGTGGGGGGTGTGTAGTGGTGTGTGGGGGTGTGTGTGGGTGTGTGGGGGGTGTGTAGTGGGTGTGTGGGGGTGTGTAGTGGGTGTGTGGGGGTGTGTGTAGTGGGTGTGTGGGGTGTGTGGGGTGTGTAGTGGGTGTGTGGGGCTGTGTAGTGGGTGTGTGTGTGTGTGTAGTGGGTGTGTGGGGCTGTGTAGTGGGTGTGTGTGTGTGTGTGTAATGGTTGTGTGGGGTTGTGTGGTGGTGGTGTGTGGTGGGTGTGTAGTGGGTGTGTGGTGGGTGTGTGGGGGGTGTGTGGTGGGTGTGTGGGGGTGTGAGTGGGTGTGTGGGGCTGTGTGAGTGGGTGTGTGGGGCTGTGTGGTGGGTGTGTGGGGCTGTGTGGTGGGTGTGTGGGCTGTGTAGTGGGTGTGTGGGGGGGTGTGTGGGTGTGTGGGGCTGTGTAGTGGGTGTGTGGGGGGGTGTGAGTGGTGTGTGGGGCTGTGTGGTGGGTGTGTGGGGCTGTGTAGTGGGTGTGTGGGGCTGTGTAGTGGGTGTGTGGGGCTGTGTGGTGGGTGTGGGGCTGTGTGGTGGGTGTGTGTGTGTGTGTAGT